CACGAGGTCAGTTGCCTGCAACCTGCCGGCAACTCGTCGAAATCCGCGAGGTGGCATCTGCCAGCAAGTCAGAGAGCGCGAGAAATAGCATGCTCTTTTGGAGAGGAAGCTGCCGGCATCTCGACGTCCCCCTACCATGTCGAGGTGGTGGCACTTTTGCCGACGGCGTCTGCGAGTTTGCGAATTGCGGCGATATCACACAATTTACGTCAGGCGAAAAAATTAAAAATTCTACTTTTCATCAAAAAGCTATCATTTTTCTCATTATATGAGTTTTTCTTTTTCAAAACGACGATTTTCTTACAGAGAAAAAATCCAGTAATGCCTAAGAATCATAAAGAACATCATCTTTTTTGGCAATCCCTTATAAATCTCGTCTGCACCAATTTCGCCCCTCTCTCGCTCATATCAATCAGCTGTTCTTTCAGGTCAAAGTCTCTCACGCAATGTATCGATCCCTCTTACAGGCAGCTATTTACCAGCGCGTTCCTCCTATTGCTGGTGCAAACGACAATGGTTGACCGAATGGTCGAAGTTAACGTGGTTGCACTTCAAATTAACGCACATAGGTTCGACCGCGCGCGAGCAGCAGTTTTGCGGGTCTGCGTCATCAAAATTTAATGTGCGAAAGGATTGCGTGCTAAGGTTACATAAGATTATTAAAACCTACAATCACTCCGCGAGCTGCCGGCGGAGTTGGCGTCTTTCCGCTATGTGTGCCAACTTGCCGGCATCTTTGATGCCACCAGGTAGGGTAGATTACTACCGGCCCTGGTGCCAGGCCCTGGGCGTTGACTCCACTGCTCTAATACGCTCTTTTAGCACCCGCATTTCGCACGCACTTCTTGAGGTTGCAAAAGTTTCCCGACTTAGTTCTCTCTGCTCTTAATTTAGAAACTTTCAAAAAATCTCCTTAACTGTGACTTTTTGCGAAACCGATGAATCTGATTACTCTATCAGTAATTATATGATCTTGGGCTCTGTCTCTCTTTTTCAGAGTGTTGACTTGCTCACGCTTGCCCTGTTATCGTCTTCGCCCTCGACTACACACCTAAGGAGTTGATTGCCTTTCTAGCTCATATGTTTGTCTCACAAGGGAAGGCTTTTTAGTTGGAGTGGCCTTTGATATGTCCTACACCTGTTGAACACCATTAAACACTGATTCCAAATCTGTTTTTATTATCTGTCACCGCCCTGAACGCCGAGTTATGAGTGTTTTTTACAGTCAAAAGCGAACGTAGGATGTATGTGAAAGCAATGGTTACGATTTTTTCTGCGTTCAGGATATTAGACAAAAAGTATCTTTGATTCAACTGGTTTAGCTCCGTCAGGGCAGGCCGCTCGCGCCCGCGATGCACCTGCGTCTCTCGCGCGCGAGTGCTCTCTGATCATTACCTAGCCTTAATTAGTTCACGAAGCCTTGCCTTTGCCGAAGCTCAGCCAGTTGAATCAATTGTATAAAAACTAGCTGGTTTACCCGGCCTCGCCCGGCCCAGTCAAAACACTATGATAAAGCTCTCATCCATATCCCTGCACAACCTTCCCCTGTGCCCAAGTCTGCATGGCAATTCCCTATTCCCGCTGTTTTAGAAATCGGCATGCTTGATTACTTCCCTGCGCCAACTCCCAGCCCCGTAGCTCAAACCTTGCAGAAAAATCGGTAAAATCGATAAAAGTAATGGACAATTTCGAAAACTAATACTGTATTCGTAATCAGCATGCTCGATTGTATCCCCCCCCCTATGCCTACCCTCAGCTCCATAGGTCAAAATTTGCGAAAAATCATAAGATCGATGATGAAAAGTGCCTATGACACCGCCCCACCCCAAAGTCTACGTGTGCCAAGTTTGGTCCGGATCGGTTAAGAAATGGAATTTTCTATGTGGAACACACATACAGACATACACACAGATATTCAGCTTTATATATAAGATGAAGTGCTCCAACACCTGATCATTTGAGCAACTCGGGACTATTTTCTTTTAGTTGCGCAATCATTTTTTGACCCAAAAAATGCTCATAACTCGGCTTCCACAGGCGCTTTGCAGATAAGGAAGGCAGATTTGGTCGTCGTTTAGTGCTCTATAAAGTGATAGAGGTGTTATGTGGAGAGGATGCTTCGACTAAAAGGCTTCCCTTGTCAGCTGTTTATATTTCAAAGGTTTTTGCATGGTACCTGATACGAACTGGATTATTTGACGGCTTTGTTGAGCTTCGCTACAACCACTCCGCCTAAATCAGCCATCACTTTGTTGTTGATTTCAATTTGTTGTTTCAACTGTGTCGTAGTATTTCATATTTTGACACCTCAGTTCGACCATTTTGCTTCGTTCAAATATCTCCTCATTGCTTTTTTTGGTGGCATGCTCTTGACTACAGATATCTCAGTTACATATCCTTTAATTTAACAGGATTGGCGACGCATTCTGCGCCTCTCGGGAACGTGTTCTCCGAATTCCCTGACCCTGATAAGGCCTCGAAGCCCCTCCTTCCAGCCGCCAATCCCATAGAATCAAGAAAATTTAACTTAATGTTTGCCTCTGAACAAAACGGCATCATCATGATCGTGTCGTTTTATATATTACTAGCTGGCAAACCCGGCTCCGCCCGGTTCTGTCAATAATATATTCGTAATTAGCATGCTCACTTACCCCCCTCCCCCCTCTCCTGTGCCAACTCCCAGCCCCGTAGCTCGAAATTTTTGAAAAATCAATAAATCGATATCGATCGATGGCGAAAAGTAGCCTATGACACCCGCCCGGCCCCCGAAATGTATGTGTGCCAAGTTTGGTCCGGATCGGTTCAGAAATAAAAATTTCTATTCGGAACATACGTACATACAGGCATATATACAGACATACAAACAGACATTCAGCTTTATATATAAGATTTATGTTTGATCATTACTGTGATTCAAGCTTATACCGTTGCTTAGGTAAGCCGAACGAGGATTTCCACTTAAAATGCGTTTCAAATTTCGATGGCGCCAAGTTTATAATAAGGTTGAAACCTTGTCGAAGAACGCGACGAGTGCACGGGAGTTTTCCAAGCGTCAGAAACATATTGACTGAATAAACTCATTGAATCTCAAAGCCTCAATTAGCTGACTAGAGTCCTAAAACTCTAGCAAAACAGACGTTTTGGAGCACGCTGAATCCAAAAGTAAACTGAGTCGTCTGAGTTTGTAGCAGGTATTTCAAACTTCTTCTATGACTTTGCAGGAGATTTCGGCGTTGAAGGTAGCAGTTTTGTATATAAAAAAAGATTTTTCTTTGAGGAGATAACGGGTCGTACATATGAACCTCCAAAAACTATAGTATATACTGGACACAAAATTCAAGGCTAAAATTGAACCGACTATATTCTTGCAGTGCACGTTCTTGCAATTTTCTTCCACGTAGCCCCCATTGGTTTTTCTTTCTCTGGCAAAATCCAAAAAATAGGAGCTGTTCGTCTACTAGGTGATCAAAAGGTATGGAGAAAGTTGCAAAACTTAATTAACAAATTAATAATTATGAATCGTACTTTATAGGTGACATTATAGCACACTATGAGAGCAAAGAAAATAACAAGTGGGCTGAGAGATTACACTTACATATAAGGACTAGACAGATTTGCACTAGTGAAGATGAATTGATGTAATTAACATTTATTCAGATAGTGTAGACTTTCCTTTCATTCAAAAAAAAACTAACGAGAGCAAGTAGAGATTAACACATTGGGTGGTTTTCAAATTAGTTGATTTTCAATGAAAACACATATAAATTAACGTTTTCTTTCGGAACTTTTACTATATTCTTTCCTTCTATCCTTCATCATTGAATCTCAAAGCCTCAATTAGCTGACTAGAGTCCTAAAACTCCAGCAAAACAGACGTTTTGGAGCACGCTGAATCCAAAAGTAAACTGAGTCGTCTGAGTTTGTAGCAGGTATTTCAAACTTCTTCTATATATTCTTTCCATATTTAGAAACCAATGCACCTATGTCAGATGACTTAATTCAGCTTCAATGTCCTCAAGTTCAACAGCAACACATGCCATTCATTTCGCTACAAGTCGAGAGAAGAAGACATACTTTGACAAAAAAAATTCAATCAATCTCCATGAATCTATCGATATATCTCTATAAAAAAATAAAAAACAAGATTTTGGGAGGTTGGGAAAAGCTGAGTTAACTTGAAAAGTAAGCTTACACAAGTAGCCTATTTATCAGTGGTTGCTAACATTGACAGAGCACAATCCCCTCTCTGATCCGTGACATTCGATTAACTCAACTGCTAATTCAGTATCTTTTTCACCAAACTACGTATTATCTACGTAAAAGCTAGTTCCAGACGAAGGCGGCTGCTAACTCAAGCAAAATGCGTGATCGTATAACCCCTGGAAATGTAGTTTTGAACTTCTATTATCACATATCCGTTGTTAAGAAATATCAGTCAATGAAAGCAGGTACGTCTCTATATAGATAACCCGTCACTATTTTGACTTTGTAAACTTCGTTTTCAAGCTGTAGCGAATGCATAGACGAATATTCAATATTTGAATACATCAACCTTTGACCACAGGGCGAACTACAACGTAGAATGTGACATTGTCTGCGAGTTTCTGCAGTCAAAAATGTAAGGATTTCCAGGCATTTGCGGGTAATCAATTTTTGGGCAGCCCAGATCGCCTGTGTTCAAACATCTATGGCCCTGGATATGGTTGAAAATGCAAAAATCCAATGTGTGATTATCAAATGTGTTTCATCCATCTTCAACCGCTTTTCAGAGTTTTCCGAAAATTTGAGCAAATTTTGCTATCCGAATCCTCCTAACTTAATCTTTGCAACGAAAACTCTTCACACGAGTTTGGCTGTAGCATTTTTACAAACTGTTCAAAGGGACCGAAATTAATACCTGGCAACCTAATATCTCAAACCTACTAACGATAAGAAGTAGCAAGCAATATGAGGAAATCATTTACTCATCAAGTTTATGCCTTTCTCTTTTAGGCGAGTTGCGTTCTAATTAAAGTAAATTTCGCAAGACACGCTTGCTCGCACTCTTCTCTTGATAGGAATCTATTCGCGTTACCACCGCATCCTCCATACATAAAAAATGTGCACTCCTCTTTACGGACATCGAATCCATATCTGAGTAAAAAACTGTCTAGAGAATATTTCGATTAGTTGGGCATTATATAGCAAAACTAACCTTCCCTGATACCTGGTACAGCTTCCGGACCTTATCGGTAAAAGGCATCTGGCGTTGGAAACGAGTGGATCGTATGCAACAGACGGATTTTGCAGAATATTTTTCGATTCGACACACATCTTCTCACAACGTTCTCGGCTATCGAAATTGTTTGAATTTCCGCCGCACCCACCGTAAGCAAAACGTGTGCACTTCTCGGCTGCTTTATCATATCCATAGCTATAATAAGGTGAAATTTTGTACATATACAATCCAAAAGCACCATTACCGTATCTCAAAGCCTTTGCATGGTCCAGGTTCTATTGGTTCAAGACAACGCGGAAGTAGAATGGCATTCGCTAAATGACCAGCTACAAATCAAAAATCTCTCAATCTATCAGGTTGGCAAAACCTTTCAATGTGTCATTATCTTGCCATTTTCAATTCCTTAATTAGGGATTGAACTGTTATCCAAGTAAACAATGATTTCACCACAGTGGGTTTCAAAAACCCCTCAACTTGAAGTTAGATATTCTAAAATCTCTAAAATTCTGAATCTGCCGAAAAACTGGATCTTTGTCCCAAAGAATCTTACGGACCAAACTTGCTCAAATATACTCCTCCCAAAACAATGCATGGCTAGAAGTCGATAAATCAAGAACTGGCGTGGAATCGTCAAAGGAACGCTGAGTTGTTCTCACATAGGTGATTTCTATATCACAAACTTTTGGAAGTACAACCAGAAAATCTAACTCTTGTCAAATCTCAATCTCAAGAAATAATGAGTTTGGTATCGCCGCAACGCGGCGATCTCCCTCGATTCTGTTGCATTTTGTTCTAAGGTCATCCTCACGGAAAGGTGAAAAAAAAACGTTTCTCAAGACAGACTTTCCAGCCTCTATATTTTCTCAAAATGTGCAGCGGTTTTTGTGTAACAGATCATTGCGTTGGACATAAGAGCGAGCGAAGCAAGCATGGGAATTGATACTTCTTTTTTCTTACTTACATTGGTACTCTTGTGGTCATTGTGTTTTTATTTTGAGATGGGTTTCGCCATTTCGCTGCCAAAAAAAGCTACTACCCTATTTTCAGGCGTATAAGCCGCACCCTTTTCACTCTAGAGGCGACACGCCAAAAGACTGACTGTCATCATGGAGCGCGTTAAGTGAGAGCAGTATGCGATAAGGCGACCGCTTCGCGAGACATATGCGCGGCGGCACGCCTGGGTCTGCTCGCATTTAGAGCAAAAAGGGTGCGGCTTATACATCTGGAAATAGGGTATATCATTTGCGCAATATTTCGGTTTTCAAGTCAAAAAGCGCTTCTACCACTTTGAGAGCTCTACGCCAAATAGACTTCCAACCTTCGATCATAATCTTACGCACTTCGCAATCTCTGCGCCACAAAAGCTTTTACCATTCGATGGCAAAAGCCTTACCTGCGCATTTTCCCTTATCTATGCTAAAAAGGCATTTGTCAGTTTATTACTAAATTACGGCCTTTACTACACCTATGCAGTAAAGGTTGGAACTTGGTAATGATCTTGGTTAGTCAGAATAACCGCGTGAAAACGATCATATGGCTTGAAAATTCGGAGAAAGGCGACATTTTCTGTGTTTTTCTCATGTTTTCGGTTTCTAATGTAGTCTGCTGTCCATGAATTTTTTAACGGAAATGCGAACTTTGAGATATTGCAAAAGTCGAAACTGGTTCTAATGTTGAGTGGATCAAATATTTGTGCAACTAAAAAGCTTCTTAAGGAGCTTGCGACGTTCTATTGAATAGCAACTTGATCCTTATCAAAATGTTGAAATCGAAAACTCATGAGACAACCTGATAATTCACTTACCTGATGCGGAACACGCAAAAAGCACAGCTACCAGCTTCATGCTGAAACTCCAATGCACAAACTAAAATTCAGAGAATTTTATACTTTTGCTACAGTTTCACACGACATAATGGCAGTTTGATGCTTGCCGATTTGCCATAACAATTATAGAAATCTTTTTCGACATGCTTATGGGAATTCTGTGAAATGGTAAGAACATGCTTTTACGAAAAAAAAACTGGTGATTTCAAAATGGTATAGTTTTTCTTACTTTCAATTATGGCCACTTAGGTGTGTGGGAACGTAGACTTCGTAGAATTGCTCGCACGTAAGGTACTACTTCTTTGCTAAATATCCAGTTTATTCTTAACTAGGAAAATTTACAAAATTAAAACAAAGATCTAGAGCACATACGTAAGCATCCTTTTTGAAGCAAGGGATAATCACAGAACAATCCAAAGGCTGAAGTCGTACGATTACAAGGGAATGGTCAGAAATCGAAGTGGCCAATCCAGAGAAGCTGCATACCATTAGATGCAGCATGAAGCGATGACTCTAAATCTGTCTTCCTTACCTGCTTATCGCTTTTCCGGACGAAGCTATAAGCCATTAAAGGCCATTATTTGGCTAAGAAATTATGCGTGAAATCGAAAATTTAGCCGTACGGAGCCGCGTTCGCCTTAATGCTGGGCCAAAACATGCAGCTACTTACTTCAAATTTTCAAAACTAGAAGCTGAGCTAAAAGTGCAACAATGTGCTCAATTTCGCTGTTTTTATGTATGATTTTTTCACAATAAAACCGCTTGTAGCTTCGTCCACAGGAGCGATAAGCAGATAATGAAGACAGATTCGAAGTCAGCGTTTTATACTGCATGGAATTATGTACAGCTTGTTTGGTTTAGCCACTTCGACTTCTGACCATTCTCTTGTTAGGAACTTCTTCAGAATTCAAAGGCTTGTGTTGGACTGTACATCATTTAACAATCAATCAATTTCAGACCAATCTTCTGTCATAATTCTTTGCTGAGACAATTTTCACAGAATCTCGTCCTTATACATTTTTTCCTTGCACAATATCGTAAGGTTTGAACAAAAAGCTGAAAAACAGATCTTACCAATTTTATTAGTTGCAAATTTTGTCGTTTTTTCGAAAGACCAGCAGATTACACGGCAGTAACACCGACGGACAAGCCTGGTGCGTTCGATGCGCCTTCTTTTCTTTTACACACTATGTTAGGGCTTAGAGTGGCACGATGTGCAAAAGTCGTAATAATCACCGAGATATTAACGTCTCATTCTGTAGTGTAAACTTGACTATTTCCAAAGAATACTCTAGCATAAATGGCAAACTTTAAATAATTACAGTTGACCATTTTCGGAGTATATACCACACTAAGGGTCGCATGCACTAACATCTTTGCTGGGTAGAGGGATCCCAGCTTAAAAAAAAGGTTCACATCGTGAAGCTCCAGATATCTGGATTCCACGCTGTCTATCTATTCACAAGTATTCCTACTATCCTTCACTACAATACCGCTCGTAATTGTAAAAAAATTTTCGGCGGCCGTTAACACAGGCGGCGAGCACCGCCAAAGTCAAATTCGCGTGGAACATCATATCTCGGTTGGGAGTGAACAAATTTTGAGTCCGAAAACAGCGTTGTGTTCAGCTCGCCAAGGCGAATCTTCTGATGTACAGCATGCCGTCGATATGCCGTTTTCAGTTTTCTCAAATTCTTCTACGGAGGTCCATTCGCAATGCAAGGCAGCGCCTATCCAACGTAAAAGTTACCGGTAAATACTATTCGATAGTAGTTTTCCTGTAGATTGTAGTGCGCTAGAAAGTAGTCGCAGACTTTTTTTCCAAAAGAGATAGAATCGTTGGTGAATTTTGGAAAAATCACGCGCTTCCATATTCTGCTCGCCGCGACTTCCTTCAGAATTAGTATATTCTGGATCCGAAGAAAGCGTTGTGCTCAGCTCGTTAAGACGAATCTTCAGGTGTAAGGCTGAAAAGTAGTCGCAGATCTCTCTAAATAGAAGGGCCGGTGATTGTGGCCGGTGATTAGTCAATCGGCGGTTCACATGACATCTCGAATATCAAATCTTCATTCAACAAGGGTTTACAGTATCCACTTACACAATAACACTGACACAATTCCCTTTTTCTACTATCCTTACCTAAATTACCTGTCTTACCTGTTTTCCTTTTCCTTGGATTACAATCGCTCTCAGGGGGGGGGGGAGGTGTGATTGGTCCCGACGCTCCCGGCGCCCTTCGCCTTTCTTGAGAACGCTTCGGCTGTGATAAAGCATGTAGATAACAGGGTGTTATTATGAGTAACGCGATGAGATGCAAGTGACTCATGTTGCAGGAATCATAATCTTTCGTTCATGACAGTGATTTCTGAAAAAATCTCGTTCTGAATTTTACTCACTATAACCCTAAAATATGAAGCTTTTTTGCTAAGCATATGTGATTTTCGAGCAGCAAGTCGGAAAACCTTTATATGTAAATTTTCCGAGATGTTCGGGTTATTTCATTTTTTCTCGTTTTCGCTCTGAAGATCGCCGACGGATTTTGGTCAAAATGGATGATCTTGGATTGTACGTAAACCTCGCTTATAGAGGTTTTCGGACACGCTGTTCGAAAATCGTGATCTTTGAAGACAGTGTCTTTTTGCAGAGATGTGTTGAGGTAACTGTTAACTGAGTCACAAAATTTCGTAACTTCGTCTGCACTCTTCGCGTATATCACAAATCTTGCCTGGTGACTTTGTTAAAGTTACTAGAGGCCGTGCTATAGAATGGTGCATGCCTCATGCTCCAGCCTATAAAAATTGCTGAGTTGTTAGCCTAGGAAAATACGTGCTCATGATTTTTGCCCAAAATACAACATCGCAAACTTCGTTGAAATTACTGAGTGGTTGTATGACATTCTGTTTGCAAATATGATGTCCACTTCGACCAAGGGATCCTATTATGCTGAATAAGGTGGTTGCGTGTGCCTCATCTGTTTTATTTAATATCAAAGCAGTTTCGTAGCTAGAGGTCAGATCTATCTAACTACCAAATCCAACACAGAGCGATGTGAACAGATTTGTTCAGCGTGTTAGACAACCACTTACCGTGGAGTCGACGAAGTATGCATCTTTACATTTAGGGCAAAATTCATGAGGAAGTGTTTTTGTAGGCTCGTAAACCGGCGATTTCTATAAATTGGAGCCTGAGACATGTACCATTCGATGGCGTTCCTAGTAACTTTGACTTAGAAAGCAAGCAGGCAAGTCTTCTGACAGATACGCGAGAAGTGCGGGCAAAGTTACGCACTTTCATGATCCAGTTACAGCCACCTCACCGTCTCTCCAAAAAGACCCTGTAATCCTCAAAAAACCACGATTTTCGTAAAGAGCGTGTTCGAAAACCTCTATAAGCGAAGTTTCCTTGCAATAGAGCATCAACATTTTGACCAAAATCCACCGGCGAGCTTCCAAGAGCGTAAAAAGGAAAAAAATGAAATAACCCGAATGCTCATAGAGGTTATCGG